GCTCCTGGGACGATGGCAGCCCATATGGGCTGCCAACTGATAATCGCTTGCCAGGCGCTAGGAATGGACAGATAGGTGGGCAAATCCTCGTAATCGAGTGTAAATGCTTTTAAATTCCTTCACGGGGAAAGTGAATAAATGCTCTCTTTTCGTAACCACTATTCGTCGTTCTGATCGAAATCCTACTGTTATATGTTTAGATAATCTTTACGCATTGGACATTGCAGAAATTATTTTGTGACATTCATGTTTTTGTTCATTTACAAAACAAAATCTGCGGTTATGTGGTGAGGCGGCGGCGCCCACAAAATCGCGTCCCACGCGACCGAAAAGTGGAAAAGGTCGTCGTGAATGTGTTAATAGAAATATAAGCATAGGTCGCGAAGTGCTTGCATTCGCTGTCATTGAGCGATTATCGTAACAAAGTTAAATGCACTTATTACTGATTTACCCACAGCCCCATAACTTTGTTAAAAATGTCAAGGATGCGTCTTTTTCTTCTTTTTGTTATTGATTCATTATTTTTTACTTTTCTTCCCGGAAATGTATACTGTTAGACTCAGCTCTCTTAAAGCCTGTCAAAGCGTGTCCCAAAAGTATAGGTTTTTATAGGTTTCATTCGTTATCAATATCTGTGGAAATAGAGAATGATTCCTCTCCAGTTTTTACCAGCAATACCTTAGCGGAGCTGTGTTGATATATTGTGTATAAATTTAGAAAGAATAACAATCGCATTATTTTGAGTTTTTTTTTAGCTTGGCTTTTGTTCGATGTCGGACCTTCTTATCGATATGGTTAACAAAATTTGCAACAGCAGTAACGAATGAAACTTCGCAACATCCCCTCTACTTTGGGTGGTACCAGTTATCCGCTTTAACGCTCTCAAGACAGGACAAGAGAGGGAGATTGCTTAGAGCCGTACCCGTTCCCAACACTCTTAGAAAGGAATTTTTCGATTGTTCCGCTCTGTCGCACTGTCCATAGTGAGCTAAGTCCAGGGGCAAGGATGTCCGAGAGGTCCTGACTGAATTTGAGTTTGGTCACATAAGAAGTAGAAATTTCTCTTCTCAAACGGCGCCATCGTTGGCATTCGCGTGAACAGTGACCTTATTTTGCTGAAATTTAAAGCCCACGAATGTGAATTGTTTGTTTATGGCATTATCCGGCTCAGAGGATCCAAGTAAGCAAATGAGTTTATACGATGTGTGGTGAACACGATTTGACCCCACTGAAGCCAGTAGAGGCAATCCAAACCCTAACACGACCGTAAGCAAATCTGCCTATGAGAGAGAAGCATAGCTTCTTTCTCAGACGGTGAAGCTTATTACGCTATTGGTACAGTCCAGATTAGGTTCCGCTCGGTCCAAGAAAACTACATATACCTGTTTCTACGGCGTCAATATATATTATCACTACAATCCACCTTATCCTGTTAGTGTGCGAGCCCAATTCGCTACTCGCCAGAAAGCTCTTTTTGCGCGTACTGCACAAATAGAGTAATGAGGTACTATATTCCCGTACTATAAGATGATGAATTGAAGGCAAACCCCGGGATTAGCCCGACTTGTGGGAAGGATACCGCGAGGGAAATTGTAAGGTCCCCCTACCTAGATCACTCCAGCTTCGCCGCAAAATTGCGCGGTTAGGGCGCTAATCCTTACGGGCCTGCAACCATCGACCCCCGTTGCAACGCTTCCCACCCACCTCGATATCGGCGTGCTCTCTCGAACGGCGTGATCTCTCGCGTGTTTTGTCTTCTTTGACCGCCCTGCCGTCGTTCCACATCCGACCTTTTTGAAGGTTAAGGTCCTTAATTTCAGCGATCTTGAAGAGTTCTCTAGCTTTCCTTTTACTTTTAGGCGTATCTCAGGAGGAACACAAGGCAGAAACACCACATGAACCTATATCTTCGGAACGCCAGGTATTCGAAAAAAAAATTGGATAAAAGTCTGGATTTCTCTTATGCCAGGTGTAGTCAACATCAAGACAGCCTCTTCGAGGTAGCGCTGGTAAAATGTTGGAGCAAAAGCATTACCTTCTTCCAGAGATATCTAAAAAAATGGAGTAAGCCTATACTTTTGGGCCATTCGCTTAGACGTTTTTCATGTTATTTTGGCCATTGTCCCTGTTAACACTTTTGCTTGTGATGTTATGCCTGAACTGTGAGGGTCTGTGGATGTAATGGCCGATAATTAACTGCGACTCATGGATCGGTTTTCTTCCACCGATTTTTTTTTGCGAGTCAAGGATGCAACCGTGACTGCTAATTTAAGGATTTGGAATTTGTTGTATGGGCAACAGGCACATTGAAATACTCTACCCAAACGGAACTCTTCCGGATTATGTCTTAAAAGGATTGATCCGCCCAAATGATCCGTTTATTGGGTTGCATAGGATAAAACACCAAACAAAACAGATGAGAGCAAGATGAATGAAAAACTTTTATTCTTGGTCTATCTATGTAATTGGTGAACGCTGGAAAAATCGGTCTTCAGTCGGAGTTAATTTCCCGTAACTCGGCGATAGTGTAGTCGGGTGAGTTGAAATAGTTGAGCTTGAGACGGTGTAGAAGGCTGTCGTCGTCAGTCTCCAATTTCCGTCTCTCGATGCTCATTCGACTTTCCGAATGAGCTCGTCGTGGTGGCCTCAATACACACATTCGGTTCATTAGGATGCCCAGGAAATAGGAAGTGCCCACCATCACTCGGTGGTGGAACCAGTAACATGGAAATGAGTATTTGAATCACTCGGCTCATAGATCATTGCGGGCCACATGACCATAGATCAGCAAGCTGTCTACAGAGAAAACGAAGGTCTTCCAGGACGTTTCCCGCGTTTTGTATGACATGGAGGCACATACATGGAACATGAACTATGATTCAATTTTTTCCTAAGCGGCTTTCTGAATGCCAAAAAAAGAGTTGAAAAAGCTCAAGTGGCACACTTTTGACACAATTTTCGATGAAAACCCGATATGGGTCACTGATGGTCCTTTCGGTAATAAGGCATTAATTACTAGCCGCGAGTACCATTTCGCGATATCGTGCAGTATTAATCGAAAATTCAAAGTTTGTCGTCATGGGGAACGGTTGAGCCAGAGTTGAACGCTTTACCCTTCTAAATTCTTCTGACTGTTCTTGATTGTAGCTTTCTTCTTTTATTTATTTCCCAAACAAACCTACTGCGCCTTTGGCTGAGCCTGGGTAGAGGTAGAAATAATTCTTGATACTCACTTTATCAGCTCCTCTGGAGAATTATCGTCATCCATTGGGTCCTTCACCAAATCCTGAATAAAAAGATGCGTCATAATTCTTCTTGTATGCTTGATCATTATCTGCAGAAATCTTAAATTTTAATGGGTTATTTGAGCTGAGTCTACTCCGGTTCTAGGTGAAATCGCTGCGGGTGCCTTCACACAAACACACGGTACTCGCCGTAAAAACTGCAAAATTCACACAGAAAACGTAATTTCGCGTTTTTTCCTTTTTCTGTTATAACTAAATTCGAGCTTTTCAAGATCCGAGGGCGATGTTGAGTTCAGCTCGTCGAGTTCCATAAGAGGCTGGCAAAGGAGTTGTCGGCTGGTTCTGACTTGCTGAAGTAGGCGGCAGATTGGTTCAACGAAAACTTCAGTCTTGAAGGTGAAGGGGTAGCTATCGTAGAATGGAAGAAAGCTCACGCTAATCCACTATTTGGCACGCTAATGAACTATTTTGGCAACACATGGTTTGAAATAGTAGAGATTGCTCTAAGGGTATGGTAGTGGCCCTAAAGCAAACGTCGCAAATTTTGATTCAGTTTACTTCAGATGGAGATCAACAGACAATAGATTAAATTAGGGAAGGATACGTTGCAATAAAGCGGTGGGTGAAGCCGCGTATATAAAGGACCTCTCATCAGTGATTCTGTAATGACTCTATTCCAACTACAACTGACCTTACACCCACGTTTGAGATGCTATTGCCGAAAAGTAAAGCTGATGACAGTGTATTCCTCCATTTGGAACCAGCGTCCACCGCTTCGTAATGGGGCAGGGTTCAGGGTTTTTTTTCCAAGTGTTTTGAAATAAGCCGGCCATTTGATCTAACCTGTATCGACTATCTTCATCACAACCTCAAACTCACCAAGATTAGTTGCTCAATAACCTTTTTTCGATCGAAAGCTGGACTTTTTTGTGGAACTTCCAGTTCTTTCGTCGGAAATGGGAACTCGTTGTGGAACATCACGCAACCCAGCTTCCTCGTAGGTTTCTTTCTCACCCAGACTCCTGAAGAATAGTTTATATCCCCTCTTATGGAAAAATGGACTGCCCATAGCAGTTACTTTAAAACAAGCTCGACAGAGATTGGCGTAAGCCCGTGTGCTCCTCACTGTAGATGAGGAGACTGTATGATGGCCACGCTACCGATCTACAATCAGCTCTGCCTTCCACTTGTACCTACGCCTACTGTGCACCCAGAGTGACCAATCATTGTGAATTCGTATAGGGCCTTTCATACCAGAACAAGATCAAGGTTTTCTTTGCGGAGTTTTTGGTATTGTACAAAAGCCGATTTATAACAAAATTTACCTGTTGGCGAAGAGGGTAAAGGGTGCACAAGTGCCACCGGTATCGGTGAGGCTTTTTTGTCCTGAATATAATCACACGCCTCAAGTGAGCATGACTTCTCAACGACCTTTTGTAGAACTGCAGAAGTTCCAGGCTCCGGATCATAGTCATCTGATAATTCCTTGCGCGAAATTATCGTGGAGTTTTTCATCGATGGAAAGTCGTAAATGGAAATCGTCCTGGAAGGATGCGCAAGAGTGCAGTTGGTTTTTAATCACTCTTTAAACCATACTCTATAAAACCAAGTTTAGGTGAAACAACAGTTGGAGCCGAGATGGAACTACTGTGTTGCAATGTTCAGCGCACCTCGGCAATGTCCTGCGAGCCATTGGCCTCTCTATAGGATCAGTTTGTGTTTCCGAAGTCTTCTGTGCGGGCTCTGGCTCCGTACTGACCACCTCCGCCACCATTTGTTTTTTCTCGTCCTCACTTCGAAATTCATTATATCCCGGATAGCTGGCGAACGCTAAGAGAAAACCTGTATAATCTCGTTCTCAATAAAATTATAGCTAATCCATACCTGTATGATTACTATAGTTCACTTTCAGAGAGCTTGTATACATGTACAAGTGCTGATCTTCGGAAATATTGAGAGCATTGCAAAGAGCTGCATCAACCTGTAAACCCGGTATTTCAAACACGGTGAGTGCTCATAAGGAGAAACGCCATGGCAGCGAAATGGTGCCTAAGGTTTTTATTTTTAAAGAGGCGATTCGTAGGCATTAAAGGAATCTTCCACGGAAAGAGTGATCATTGTAGGATTAGTATTATCGAAACTAACGCTTATGTTCCGTTCTTTTTGCTATGCTCATGAGGCTAGGGGCCTAAGGGGTATCGTTTTTCTGTGGTAATGGAGGCGGAGCTTTTTCCGCGGAAGATTCCTTTAATAGGCGGATCGACTACACCCACTCCAGCACGCTCAAGGGCCATGTGTCTATGATAAGCTTCGTTTCGATTCACCTTAGCGCACTCACTAGTTCAAGTTTGATGTATGAGGTTGTCAGGTACATTTCCTGAACCAGTTTACATTCAGTGCTTACACGCCAAAAGGAGTGAATTAAGATCGACATGCAATCTGATGAGAGTGGAATCTTCAGCTTCGACCAGCTAGTTACAAAAGGCATGCAAAATATTGTAGATAGCAGTTCCGTGTGGTGAGAATGTGATTCGGAGGAGCCCTCCTATCTAATCAGAGTGGAGCTGCGGAGAAGCACTCGTATCTATTGGGTTGGAGCATAATATCGTAGCGTTTTTTTTTTGAGCGTATAAATCCAGTCAGTACAAGTATCCTCCAAAAAACTGCTCATAGTATTTGAAAGTACTCTTCTCGCTCTACAAAACCGTGTTGTCTTTTTCTTCAACATTGTAGCTGTACTCAGTTATAGAGCTTAGAAGTTGGAAAATCCAGACGGCGAAAATCGGCGTTTCGACAGCTGCTATTTCTCGGTTTGAAAAAAAAGAAAAACGCCGAATTGGAAGTTCTTTCAAATCCATTCTTCTAAACAAACCTTGCTCTATCCGACCCCACCTATTACGCTCAAATCAGAACCATATTCATTTCGTACAAATTGAGAATAAGAAGGACTCCGAAAGAGCTCAATATTTTTTTTTGAAATTCTATATCCGGTGATCTCTGCGAAATGCAATCAAGTTGTAAATAATGACGAAGTGAACATCACTGATTAGTTTTATGTTTTTATTTTTTGCTTCAAATGTTTGTGTGAAGAAATGAAAAATGCAAGCGCTACGATATTATGCTCCAACAACATAATAATATGAAGGCAACAGCCAAGGATAGG